TATAGGTGGTTTCTAATCCTTATTTTTTCTCGGAACTAAGGCTTGAGTTCATGGAGTTGAAAGAAAAACAGTTAAAAAAAACAAAAGAAGAAGAAGAAACACGTGTTGTTTTTTAAGGAAGCCACATCAGCAATGGAGGAGGAATGGCTCCTGATATATCAGGAGCCAAGCATTGTCCATAACAAAATGGGCGAAAATAACTTGTGCGACCATGCGAAGCATATATTATCAAGTGAAATGTAATCGCCATTGAACAAAATGGGGAGTCATGTAATCGCTACGTTTGTGTATACTTTGTACACTAGGAAGTACAACACAGAGTTTGTACACTATGAAGTACATACAACACAGAAACTGAACAATTACCACGTCAATAGTTACTTGCTAATCTTGTAATTATCATGATAACAATTAATACAAGCAGCTCCAACATCCCCAGATACTAACTTTTTAGCATCCTCCAATATCTTAATTTTTTTCTCTGGAACTAAAATAAACGTCATTGGAATTTAGATGGCACCTAATATCAATTACATTGAAGCGAAAAATTACAAGTAGCTAGCAAGTCTTTAAATTACTTGTATCACACAGTTTACATTTTACACCTACTCAATAAAAAACGAGTTCGGCATTGAATTGGAATCGAGGATGGTATGTATGAAATGAAACTATGATTTGCTACATCATATTTGCCCTCGTTAAAAGAATGAGGAAGTAGGTAGAACGAAATATTTTTTGTTTTGTTTTAATAATTAGCTACAAATTACTTGAAGAACGAAATAATAGGTGCATTCAAAAGTAAGGATTCTTCTTTTATGGGAAGAAAAAATATATGAACTTAGACATCCTCCAAAGAGAGTTGTGCATGCAACTACGAGAGTGGTTGGTAAAATTACTTCAATAGGAGAGTTAAAATTTTAGTAGTAAAGTTCCTTCAGCTTAACTGGCCAAAAGAAATATATATAAATAAATAAATAAAACCCATTTTTTGGGTTTTCTTTTTCTGGACTGGGCATTACGAGCAAAATTCAAGACAATTCTGAAGATGGATGCTCATGCTCCTTAAGCTTCCATGCCCTAACGATTCATGTCAAAATTTCATATTGAAAAAAGACAATTCAGAAGAGACTATTCTTTACATTTCCACTAGAAAGCAAACTGAACAAGGGATCTTCTTCCTCGTTACGGCTATTGATGTCAGTTTCTTTAAAATGGATTTCAGTTGTATTTGTTGTTGAGGGTAAAGGTCTTTTGACTTGTACAAATGCCACTTTAACAGGTCCAGACCTCAGTTTTGATGCATCGGAACTTGAAGGTGAGCTTGAGCCTGGTAGCAAGCAACCTTCTTCAGAAAGCTTCTTGCTAGGAGTCTCCGCAATGTTTGAACCATCTTCACAACGTTCAACCAGCTTCCCATCAGTACCGTCGTTGGACAGGCCTGACAACAAATCAATCTTATCCTCCGTGACATGGATTGGAACTTTTTCAATAGCGTGGTTTGCATCTGCCATCTGGGGAATATTTTCATCATCTGGCACAAACCAAAAGTTTAACAAGACTCTCAACAAGTAATATTTCCATAACCACATTAAACTACAGGAAAACAAAACAACAAAATATACAAGGAGTAAAAACAAAACTTCAGAACAAAGTTAATATGTACTACTTTATCTTTTGTTCTGTCTGGTATCACGAGTAAACCAAGTGGATGAGTGTAGACCTTTGTTTAACCAAATTCTTTATGACTTCTTGTCGACTTTTCAACGACTTGAACAAACGAACCTAAGGAGAAATTCATACAACTAGAATTACATCATACAGGAAAATGTGTTGGGAAACATATGATGTATTCCTATCGCTCCAAGACAGATGCATAAGCACAACTTATTATGCTTTTGTGCAGAGACACAGAAATCCAAAAGGTCTTATTTTATGACAACACAGATTTTATTGATGGGATACAACTAAAGATACAAGCAGGGTTATTCATCTAAAAATGTGCAGAACCTCTAACCTACCAGTTGCTAAAGACATCATAAAAGTCAAAGAAACAGAAAAATAACAATATAACATATGAAAACTACATAATAGAAAGCTTAACTAATCTTTTCCTTCCAATCAAAATGAATAAGGAAGAATGGTATATACCAAAAATCAGAAGAAATCGAAAACCCACAATGATGCCTATTAACAGCCTCTACTCTTTGTCATATAAAAAGGTCATGTTGATGATAGAAAATAATTAGCCAGCCCCCCGAATGTCCTTAACCATGTGGCAGCGATAGTATCATAAGCAACAAACATTAAAAAAGCAGTAATGTCGATTATGTCACATCAAAATAATAAACAGAGCAAATGGGGGAAAATTGAGATATGCACACAATTGCGTAAGAATGATGTAAATATAAAGTACAATATTTGCTGCTTATACCATTACTTAAGAGAGATAAACTAAGAAAACACCATGAACATACTGACCTCCCAGGAAAGACTCAACACTTTGATATAGTACAGATGATGCCCCTAAAGCAAGATCCCCATCATGACTTGCAATCTCACTCTTATGAGTGCTCTCGAGCAATTCAAACTTATCTGATTTCAACACACACTCAAGAATGATAAATTCCTCATTTGTTGGGTAAAACTCCCTAAAGACCTGTATCAATTGTGCATAAAGAAAGCAGTAAATAACATAGAAGCTAGAATGCATCTAACAACAATCTGTTACCAGAGTGATTTTCAGAACAAAAGAAGGGGTGACCTCAAGTCCTCCTTGATTTATCTTTATGGATTGCTTCTTTTGGGAGAGAGAAGAAACCATGTTGAATACGGAGACAACATCAAGTAAAATCTGTAGAACAGATAGCAAAAGAAAAGTTCATCAAATCAGTCCAACTACTAGTAGTCTATTAAGGAAGAACTCAAAGTTTGAAATGTCCAAAATTTGTAAGTGACGCATTCATGAGGGCTAGCCACATGGACAAGTTTCACATCCTAGACATGATTAATTCGCTCAATAGCTGAACTCCATGTTTAATACCAAGACCTAGTCACCTAGGTTTCTCACTGTATCACTAGCCAAATGCTGCTGCAGCATCTACATTTCTTTTTGTTTTTACTCATGATAAATCCACACAAACTACCCAGTTGGCTAGCTTGCCTTGTATTCCATGTTGAATACAAGGAAATTTCTGTTTTGTTGGATAACTCAGTTCCATGTACGGTGCTCTCCAGGTTTATGCGAATTTATGAACAGGTTCAGCACTTGAACCCATCTGAAATGATAAGGACATGAGCACATTTTCCATAAACTACCCACATTTAATAAATAATCTGTACATTTCAATTTTAAATGTATTGGGGGAAAAAAAGACTTGAACTTACTTGTTGAACCAAAACTCGAAGTCGTGCAAGCAGAGCTAAAATAGTCAGAGAAAATCCCATGAAAAATGATCGAGCGAGCAGTGTAGATATCTCGCTGTAGAATAGTCAAGGGTAACAAGTTCACGGGATGCATATTTCAATTTATGCTTGGTGAACCAAGCACTAAACTACTGTATACAGAATGGCAAAGACCTGCTTCTGAATTTTCTCTACAGATGAAAAGTAGCATATAAACACCCTGGCAGCAGTAAAAATAATCATGCTTCAATAAGAAACAAATATATCTTTTGTCAATATAAAAAGATACATCACAAATCTAATACCACGTAAAATTACTTAACAGCTTACTTGTAAAACCATGCGATTCTGTTATACAAATTTTTTTACTAAGACTTCCAGTTCCAAGTATATCATAAGAGTACATAAACTACTGTTAAAGGTTAGACTCGGATGCCTTAGAAATACGGTAATTCATGATAGTCAATCGGGCAACCATATATACGACATCAAAACCATCAAATTTCAAATTTTACTTCTGATCTTATAAACGTTACAAGAAAGTTCCTATATGTAACCAGTAAGCAAAGGATACATGGCTGCCTTCAACATTGGCTCAACCATCTGCAGCAGAAACAAAACACATTTTTAACAGGTTAGAATAAAAGCAAGTACTTCACGCTGGACCACCTAACGATGTCCTCATCACAAACATATAATTAGTTGCAGGATCTAAGTACTACTGAGGCCTACTTTATTACAGAATTCCATCTTGGATTCTTAGCTCATCAAGAAGGATGTTTACCTAGTAGACAAATCTACAGTAAAGAACTTGTCCTATGACAGACAATGCAGTTTCATTGGCTTAGAAGAGTGGGAAATTAATAAAGTCATGGACAGTTTTGTCAAGAAAATTGTACTTCGTTATTATTTTTGCAATATGTTGACATATGTGGATATTTACTTCTTTTACAGGTAAGGATATCTTGAAATATAGATACAGACATCTATATGAATCTAAAGGAAACATATGAGATTACGTGACCTCATGTTTGAACTTTTGAAAGTTAGTACGTCAGATACCCACATCCTCAAATCCAGTCAGGCATAACCATAAAGCAGAACAAAACAATGTTAACCACCACTATGAAGTTTAAGGAAATGAGGCAAAATTAACAAATCATTAGGAAAACAAGAACACACCTGTGACAGAAGGCGTACAGCTCCCAGAAGTCGGTCCATGAAATTATATTTTCCACTCTCACATTTCCTTCTCTTCAAGCTGTGACGCAATGATTTGGTAATCCCAGAAGTCGCTCCATGAAATTATATTTTCCACTCTCACATTTCCTTCTCTTCAAGCTGTGACGCAATGATTTGGTAAGTGATTATAATATAAACTACGTACTCAAGCTAGTGGAAGCTTTCTGCCTATCTATCAAGCACACAACTGAGATTTTCAAATTGGGGACAAAGGTCCAGATCCATAACAAAAGGGAAAATTAATGGAGCATATATATGTATGTATATATATAAAATATACTGATTAAATCCCCACTCTACTATCCCATCCCTCCCCACCCCCAAAAAAAAAAACGGGGATGCAGCATCAGCCTTTATCTATATAGGATCCGTATGATGAAAATATAAATTTCATCGTTTACCTTTCTAATAGATGTACTTTTTGCTTAGGTCTCTTCCCAGTGATACTTTGAAAACAGCAACCCAAAATCTCCTCCAGTTTAGTGGATTGTAAAAGCCTCAAATCCCTCCTTACCTGACATGACATTAAAAGAAAAGAAAAAAAAAGTGAGCCAAACCACGTACATACATACATAGCAGTAAAGTAAAACATAGAATAGATAATTAAATTGTAAGATTTAACTGACCCTAATAAGCTAAGCAACCCAAAATTAGTCCATTAACTACTACTTTGCCTGAATGTATATCGAAATTCAGTTTTTTCTTCATCCATCAATTTTTCTCAGCAAGCAAACAATAGAGTAAGAAGCTTATAACTACAAAAATAGCTAAGTTTGAAATCTAAAACTGACTTTAAGACGCTATGCAACAAAAACCCACCACCCAAATTCGCCAATTAATCATTCACTGCTATCAAGCATACTCAATGCAAGTAAAAAGTATTTTATTTTCCTTCTATTTCATCAATTCTCTCAGGAACCAAACAACTGAGTAAAAGCTTTGTGATTATAAACAAGTCGTGGAATTTGCAAACCTTCATAAGGTACTGGAAATACGAGCCACGCCTATGCTGGTTCTTGTTCTTGTAAACCATTCTTTCCAGAATGGCACTCTCTGTTTGGAGCTGTCCAAGTAAAGATGTCAACTTCTCCTCAAGAGCTTCTGCTTCTGCTTCTGAATCCATTGAGTCAGACTGCAGATTATTATTGTTAGAGAAAGTATGATCGGAAACTTCTATCATATCCGTGACCGTGAGTGAAAATAAAATTCAGCAAACGCTATTCGGGCATTTTAACAAACAGTTTATGTGCAAATTGTACAATACCCACAACACGATATGAGATAGAAACCTAATCCTAAAAGGAGAAAACCCATCACTGAACAGTCATAGGAATAGAATAAATAGGTTCAGACCAAGTGACAGAACTCTCTATTGATAGAAATATGGGGAGGCAACAACGGTTCTGCCTGACCCTACTTAAGCATGCATGTCAGTGAAGACTTGGTGTGAAGCCTTGGAATCCAATTAGTATGTGCAATGTCTTTGAGATAAACAAACAAGTATTGTCGTACATTTTGGAAAATCGTGATACCTTAGAAGAGGTGAGTATTATTATGAAGCAAGCTCCATTCCGCGAAAGCTTACACAAGTCGATGAAACCACAAATTGGCGCGTTCGGAGAAACGAAGTAGCTCGTCAGGTTCAAAAAAAGATACGGCAGTCAGAACAGCCTCAGCCGAAAATAAACTAGGGAGAGAGAGGCTGAGAGCAAGAGAGAGCGAACTGTCTCCAATATATGTATATAATGCCTCTACCCAAATTTTCTCTAAAGCGCGCGTTAACTTACGGAGATGGATGAGGGAGAGGGCGCCTTTTAGGAACCGTTGGATGATTTGGCGGTTCCGAATAAAAGAAACAACTTAGCCCGGCATGGAGTTGGCTTCTGCTAGGGCTTTGATTTGGGCTTTTGTTATGGGTAGATTTTATTTTGTTGTGCTCGGCTTCATTTATGCTTCTGGTTGGGCTTTGTTTTGAGCTCAATGTTGTATCCGGACCAACAACTTTTGTATATTTTTCTCTTTTTTTGGTTGGAAATTTGTATATTTTTCTTAGACGACCTTTTTTGTTGTTGGTATTTTTGTCGATTAATATAATGTATTTTCTTTCTTATTACAGGGCTGGGTTATTTTCTGTATTTAAACCATGTATTTTATAGTTTAGGGAGATTTTCGGAATATTATTATATATTTTATTGCTCTTTGAGGGCCAAGAGTTCCATGTGTTTATCATTTTCTCATGTGTTGGTTGATTGTGACGAGTAACTACAGTGTAGTAAAGTAACGGGGTCATGTGGTATAACTTGTCTACATGTGTACAAGTAATACCACATGAACGTACTCCAGTATTATTTTGTAATTTCTCAATTTGTTAGGTTGTTCTTGAAGTGAGTGCTTCCAAATCCACATTAAGTTCCCTTGGGTTTGGCTACACTATTAGTTCGAAGCTTAAACCAAATTAATCCTGCCAACGAGGTCTAACCCAGTAGAAAGGGTTGTGACTTGCAGACCAATGGTCTCAGGTTTGAACTCTCATGGCACCTTAATAGTGTATAGAAAACCGTGCAAGTTGAATTGGAAAATCCTATTCCAACCAATTCTAGTTTGAAATTTTCTGATTTTGGCAAGTCCAAATCAATTCTGACATCCAAAACTTCTAAAATCCGAAAATTCGAATAAAAATTGGATTGGAATTGGAATGTATCTAGAGATTGCGAGAAAATTAATAATTCTGAAATATATTGGGGCTTCCATCTTAGATTGCACACAATTACTAATTTCATGTTGAACTAAATATAATTTGATGACCAAATAGACATAGACAAGTTATTTCATAAAGGATAATAACATCTAAGTACTAGCATATAATAATTTTCCAAACTTTGTAATAACCCGATTCTAAATTAATATTCGGAATATTATTATATATTTTATTGCTCTTTGAGGGGCAAGAGTTCCACGTGTTTATCATTTTCTCATGTGTTGGTTGATTGTGACGAGTAACTATAGTGTAGTAGAGTAACGCGGTCATGTGGTATAACTTGTCTACATGTGTACAAGTAATACCACATGAACGTACTCCAGTATTATTTTGTAATTTCTCGATTTGTTAGGTTGTTCTTGAAGTGAGTGCTTCCAAATCCACATTAAGTTCCCTTGGGTTTGGCTACACTATTAGTTCGAAGCTTAAACCAAATTAATCCTGCCAACGAGGTCTAACCCAGTAGAAAGGGTTGTGACTTGCAGACCAATGGTCTCAGGTTTGAACTCTCATGGCACCTTAATAGTGTATAGAAAACCGTGCAAGTTGAATTGGAAAATCCTATTCCAACCAATTCTAGTTTGAAATTTTCTGATTTTGGCAAGTCCAAATCAATTCTGACATCCAAAACTTCTAAAATCCGAAAATTCGAATAAAAATTGGATTGGAATTGGAATGTATCTAGAGATTGCGAGAAAATTAATAATTCTGAAATATATTGGGGCTTCCATCTTAGATTGCACACAATTACTAATTTCATGTTGAACTAAATATAATTTGATGACCAAATAGACATAGACAAGTTATTTCATAAAGGATAATAACATCTAAGTACTAGCATATAATAATTTTCCAAACTTTGTAATAACCCGATTCTAAATTAATATTTAATTATTAATTTATTCAAGTAAAAGACGAATTTACCCCGGGAATATTTTAATGGTTTCAAAGTTGACTTTTTGCTTGGGAAGGAATTTGGAGATTTCAATTGTACTGTTGCTTAGAGCATGTCGAGATGAGTCCGTAGACACATAGTGGGCTCAAATTGGAGTTGTAACGAAGAAGTTACGATCAAAAATAGCCAATGGCATAACCGTAATTAACTTTGGAATGCGGCTCGGGTCGACTTTGTGTTACCAAGGCCTGTGAGGATGTGTCACACTACGTGACATAAGGAATTGACGGTATAATGTGGAAATTAAATAGAAAATCATGGAATTGACATATTTATTATGGGAACACCTAGGTGGAAGGAAATTATTTCTTTTCAACGCTTTCAATTGATTTTGATGATTTGATTGAATGCATGATTAATAATATGTATATAAATATGCATGTCTTAATTCTTATATGAATATAGAGCATGGATATAAAATGAATTTTCAAATGGTTTTAACTGTGGGGTTAGTATGTTAATATTCTATTTTTTTCAAAACTTTATTTTGTCCACTCACACTTTTAAATGTTTTGCGCCCCCAGGCAATAGGTATACTAGAGCACCACCACCGAGCAATCATCATCACTCTTCATCCTTTTTCCACTATGTAGGATATTCTCATGTATTCGTGCTTCTCTTGTAATTAATTAGATTTGCGTTGCTCTGAAATTGCCCTAGTTTTCTGTAAGGCCTGATGCCTTAAAGTCATGTTGTTGGATTGCATGAATTCTAACTTGATGCATGCTGAACAGTTGTGGTTATAAATTGCTTTTCGTACATGTGTAAATTTTTGGGAAACGAGTATTTACAGGGGAGACTGCCGAATTTTCGGTAGAAGTCAAACTTGAAATTAACTTTGGTTTTTGTTAGAAAGGCAATTTGGTCAAGAGTGTTCAGCACCTGCCAAGTGTCGGATACACACAGGATTTGGCACATATTCCAAAGTGGAATTTGGGTAGGGTCCTGTCAAACTTACTGTATGAGTTTTCAATTTTGAGTCAATTTTAATCTTTCAAATGGTTAAGCATGTTTAGATTTTTGAACTAGTCTCCGAAATTTACCCAAAAAAATCTAAAATATGTAAGTTCTGAAATATTTCAAATATTCCGAGTTTTTAGATTTGAAATTCCAAAATTTTTGGAATGGAATTGGAATAGAATTTTCATTCCAAATTTTTTTGGATTGGAATTGGAATCCCCTTATTCCAATCAGATCCGTCCGAAAATCAGTCCTATCAATATTGCTTATATTATAAAATAAAATAAGATTATAAAAATAAAATAAAAACAAACCAAACTAAATCTGAGTCATAATGTTACATTAAATTGGTTCTGTTGTTGGAGGCCTAAACCGAACCTAACTACCCTTAACTGATTTCCCCATATGGGGCATTATTAGGATTTTTCAAAAGATTGGGCATGAAATTCAAATTATATCTTGAGATTACAAAAGTAAAACACGACTTACAAGTTCTAATTGATTGGGCATTGCTAAACTTTTTTCTTTTTTTTTTTCTAAAACAAATGTTGGCACTAGAAACCACTTTAACCTGGGATTCCACGACTCAAATTACAAACTTGTTTCCTTTCTTATAACTTCAATTTAAAAACTTGTTGGCAGTAAAGGGCATAATAGTCAAATCCGATCTTTTTCATTCTATTGTGATGTGTGAACACGTGTGTTGAGCATCAATGTCTGGCACGGAAACTCGAGGTATACCTAATCATAGTTCTTTCTTTTTTTATATTTTCTGCTTTTTCCTCTTTCTTTTTCCTGTGTTTTGGTCCTAATCATAGTTTTCCTTTTGTTAAAGCTTGATCATATGCCGTTTGTTGAGCCCGATGTTGAATTGTTAACAATATGCATGATTTATTATTATAGAAAGTGATATGTTTTGCTGTTAAGGATGGAATCAATATGCTGAATAAGATGAACAGTACAAGGGCCTAGTTCAATGATAACGTTAATAACGCCTTTGTCCATAGCCAATTTCAAATGAAAAAATAAACTCCAATAAATATATATCTTTCACCTACGTAACTAGTAAACAATCAAATAATAATAACCTGCATAATCTTCATACGATTAAATACATAATTTTCATACTATCAAAAAAGAGATATATAATCTCCACAAAAGTCTTTATCCATGACCGTACTTTATTTTGTGATGAATGTGAAGACTTCTAGAAGAAGAAGAAGAAGAAGAAGAATAAGATAAATAGGTATATAGATATAATGACTTACATAGCACAAGGCATTGCTGCTGCTTCTGGGAGGTTGTGTCTGCAACGCTAACGTGAAAAAGAAGTTAGAGCGTCTTGGATCTTCTTGGCGTGAGTTTTTATTTTTATTTTTTAGGATTTGGGGTGCTTCAGAATTATGTGGTCAAGAGTGTTCAGCACCTGCCAAGTGTCGGATACACACAGGATTTGGCACATATTCCAAAGTGGAATTTGGGTAGGGTCCTGTCAAACTTACTGTATGAGTTTTCAATTTTGAGTCAATTTTAATCTTTCAAATGGTTAAGCATGTTTAGATTTTTGAACTAGTCTCCGAAATTTACCCAAAAAAATCTAAAATATGTAAGTTCTGAAATATTTCAAATATTCCGAGTTTTTAGATTTGAAATTCCAAAATTTTTGGAATGGAATTGGAATAGAATTTTCATTCCAAATTTTTTTGGATTGGAATTGGAATCCCCTTATTCCAATCAGATCCGTCCGAAAATCAGTCCTATCAATATTGCTTATATTATAAAATAAAATAAGATTATAAAAATAAAATAAAAACAAACCAAACTAAATCTGAGTCATAATGTTACATTAAATTGGTTCTGTTGTTGGAGGCCTAAACCGAACCTAACTACCCTTAACTGATTTCCCCATATGGGGCATTATTAGGATTTTTCAAAAGATTGGGCATGAAATTCAAATTATATCTTGAGATTACAAAAGTAAAACACGACTTACAAGTTCTAATTGATTGGGCATTGCTAAACTTTTTTCTTTTTTTTTTTCTAAAACAAATGTTGGCACTAGAAACCACTTTAACCTGGGATTCCACGACTCAAATTACAAACTTGT